GCCGTATAAGTAATATATTCAATAAATAACTTGCAAATGTATCTTTGCAATCTGAATGATGGTAAATTAAAAAATTACTAACCCGTCGTTTCGTCGGGTTCCGTAGACGTAACGTTAAGCGCGGTCCGGTTGGCAAGCTGAAGATCCGCAAGAAATTCTCGAGACCGACGGAACAACGAACGTTTCCATCTCGTATCATCGGACGTAGTTGAAGAGCAAATGCTCGGGCGCGCGTTAATGCGAATCACCTTAAGGATCGCGTCGCAGGCTTTGGTTTAGCGTTATTAATTCGATTTCCGAGCACAGTCTCCCCGAAAGCGAGCTGATCCTTTGATCGTTCGCATCGAGGATCAGCTACGCGGAGCACTTTCCTTCTGCTAATCAGGTTTACTCGGGTTAAACGAGAATCGCAACCGAGCCCCCTGTTTAATCCATCCCCTGGCCGCGACTAATTGCATCGTCGAACCGAAACAGAATCTCCGCGATAGCTAATTTTTCGAGGACCCTTTTTTCAGCAGTGTTTGCTCAAGCCAGACCAATCTTGATCCACGTCTGGCACCGACGTCCATCTCCATGATTGGCAACCTCCAATTAAAGACTTTGCTTATTGCATATATTCTTATGCTCCCTTCTGCCGACTTATTTCCTGACATTTCGAGTATATATATATATATATATATATATATATAGAGAGAGAGAGAGAGAGAGAGATGTATAGTTATTATAGAGTTATATTATATATACTCGAAATATCAGAAAATAAGTCGGCAGAAAGGGGCATAAGAATATTATATATTTATTATTATATTATTATTATATATAATATTATATGTATATAATAATTGAATCGTTCGATGAAGCGATGCAACCAGATGCAAGACCGGGAAAAATCGGTGCTCGTTGATGGCTGATCCGTTTCGAAATCTTTGACAATGTGCTTGCGCCCATCGCTTTTCGCGCCGAATTAACACGTTCACGGGCAGCATCACATGATTATACAATAATTTCGCCCTAATTCGAGCTCAGATTGCGCACAAAAGTGGGAAGAGGAGATACGATTATTCGAGCCCTGCGGCTCATTTTTATAGTTGCCGATTCGTATCCTAAAATATGATAAAAATATCGTCAAAGAGAAGCAATAAATTCTCCGAATATCATGCTATGTGTTACAATTTCAAATAATAATATTCACAAAATTCATTTGATGTTCTTTACGTGAAACTCTAGCAGCTATAAAAGAACTCTTATATTTTATATTTCACGAGTTTGTTGTCCATTTACAAAACCCGCGATCATCTTATCCCACGCAACGATCCTATGACGCTTTGCCTGTCAAATTTGAAAATTGACTTGTTCGCAATTGTACGTAATTGCACGTAATTGCCCGCAACTCGTACCTGATCTACTATATTTTCCTAATTCCATTAGGTTCCGTGAAACGTAAGAATGTCCAAAATGTAATTGATGCCGTACGACCTAGCTTGTCAATTTCAATTAGATTCAATAAAATTCTCTAATTTCGTGCAATCATCGAGATGATCGGCGTGTTAAATGGGAGCAGCAAAGGGGGCGAAGAGAGCGAACATCTGTTGGCATAATAGCAGAGGACCATCCAGAGTCTTATTACCTAATTATTATCTTATTACCTAATTATCTGTGTGTCATAAAATTCGGGACGATGCCCGCGGTGTCTCGAACGAATAGAATGGCAACGATATGTCTCGGAGAGCAACAGTGGTCAATCATTTCCGAAGGAGCTTTGATAACTCTGCTCCGGTCGAGGACTCGACGTTCCCGAATCGCTTGAAGCAAAAGTGGAGGGAACGCGGAACGGGCCGCGAGCGTGTCATAAAGCTTGCCGGAGGAGTGCGGGCAGGGGCTAACAACTATTACCCTGAACGAGGAACGTTTCGGGATCGTTCTCTTCGAGCGGCTGTATTTCGAACGAACCGCCCCCTCCCTCCGCACACGTACTAATGCGTCGAGGGCGCGCGAGCTCAGACTCGCCGCCAAAGAAAAGAGTTCGAAGGTACGAGGGAGGTTTAACGAGCACGAGTGCAGCCAGTATTCTGGTCGAGTAGGTTGCACGGTGGCTTGCCTTGGGTTCTCCGCCCACCCACGCGCTCGCTCGCCTCTAATTCTTTCGTTTACTCGTGGCTTCGAGCGCGGCGGCGTCGGCGGCCTGATGTGTCGCAGACGGGCCGCCACCGCCGCCGATAAAATCCAATTTAGTTTTTTCTCTCCCTTCGCAGCCCTCTTCCGCGGCTGGCACGCCGGCGCGAAATATTTTAATCCTTGCGCGGCGCTCCTTGATCCCGGGAACGCTCGGAGGACCTTTCGCTCTTTCGCCTCGCGAGAGAAAGCTCCCCGAGCCTTTCGATCCATTAACCCCGAAACGGTCCCTTGTTTCGTTCGGGCGTCGTCTTAACGCGTTCCCGACGAGGCCTCGTAAATTCTGACGCTTCCACGAGGGCCGCCCACCTCCATCGCCGTGAAGAAAAAAAGGAGCTTCCCGAAGACGCGTGGGAAACAAGCTGCTCCGAGGACTCCCCCGTTTCGTTTTATTTCTTTGTTCCGCCGCTTTTATCCTATGGTTAATAGCGGGTCTTCGACGGCTACTCGACATTTCGGGTTCGGCTCGGGTATTTTTCTTGGGTTCGCCACGGGTACGGAAAGTTTGTGATACTTAACCTTTGGACGGCGGACACTTTTCAGTATTTATGGCAGTCGCGGCTAGATCCATCCAAATGTTTTATTTTTATTTGTACATTATCAGAACCTCTTTCTTGAGATCGAAGTTAACCCTTTTTTTATTAGTTCCAATATCAATGGCTGATAATTGCATATGACCGCCGCAAAATTAGAATTTAGATGGAATGTTTGTAACTCTGGGTTCGAATCGACTCAACGTTTGTCATCCGAGGATTAATAGAATTTTAGGGTTCTCGACTCCTCTTATAAGCACCACCACTTGGCTTGACTTCGGTGTTAGACATCCGAGTATCACAAACATTCGGGTCCGGACTCGTCCCGACCCGAATCACGCTCGATACGATTTGAGTCGAAATGTTAATAGATCCAGTCCTCTAGGATCCTCTTTGATCCTCACTTTGTTTTTAAGTCGATATATTTAAGGGTTTGCGCTTTAACACGTTTCAAAATATGGATGCTAACTTTCGAGAAGATTTACTTGTATTTGTTATCTCAGGATACTGATATTTTTCTCGGTATAAATAATTTCGTATAAACATTAAAAAATCACCGCTTTTCATTACGGTAAAGTGACTTATGCCGCTTTCAAAATAAACGGCTCATTTAACAGATCCAGTCTTAGCGAGGACGACGAAGAAAGAATCCCGCGCGATTCGGCGAACGATTTGCCGAGAGAAAAATTCGCGAGCGTGATGTAAGCTGCCCCCTTAATCTCAGTGGTCGTTTTAGCGTGGAGCGACCCCGGTGATAACGCGAGCAACAGAAAAATCAGTCAAAAAGACGTCGCGAAAACGCTGGCCGCTCGTTTATTGCCGATTCATCTTGCACGGTAACGAGGAACGAAATCGCGATCGCGATCTCGCCGGGCATAGTCGGTCTAAACACGAAACAATAGACGGTAAATTGATCGAAGCCGACCTGTCGCGATAAAAACCGGCGCGGTTAATCTTTTCCAAGTTTTTGTGCTTCGTTTAGACATGCATCAACAGCCGAAGCCATTCGCAGACTGTTTGTAAAGCAGTCGATGCAATCATGCTGTCGTTGAAGGTTTTCGTCGCAAATCATAGCGCCGAGTGCGCTAAAGTGCATGTATCAATTCCAACGTGTTATCGTTTAAACTGCGGAATTTGTGCGTTCAGGACACAGATGGATAGCTAAAATTTAAAACAATAAAAATGTTAGAGATGTCTGCTTGTGACTCGCGTTTGTTAGAATTGACGAAGATAAATCCGCGGTCTAGTTATTGTTTGCTTCGATACCACGTCATTCGTAGGCGAATCATATGCAGTAAAACTCCATTTATGCGAATTTCGTCGAAGCAGTTTATATAAGTTATACGAGAGGATATACACTCGAAGCTTTTGCACTCATCGCTTTTACACGCTCATGACATTTGCGAAATTCCGGTTGGCTAGTTCACGAAAAGACGGCCTCCTAACTCTCGCTACTTTTTAGCTGCCGACCAATAATACATCACATACAGTGACTCCCATTGATATTCGGACATAATATGACATAAATGACACAAGATGCCGCAAAGATTTATACAATTTCCTGTAAAAGGACATTTAGCAAAATGAACGTTCGATAAATCGATGGAATTCGGACCAAGAAAAGAAAAGGCTCACAATAAATCAATCATTTCAGCTTTTCCGAAATTCTCAGTTTATCGACCGACGGTTAATACCGACCCGATAAGCAATAACAGTAGCGCGTATTAGAGAGGGTATTACAATCAGGCTCGAACAAAGCCAGTTAGTCGACGGAGAAGGATCGCTCGTAGTTGTGTTGAAACGGGAAACAAATACTCCAGAGTATCGCTAAGGTGTGTACATTATTTAACAGGTTGACGCCGCCGGCGTTGCAATTTGTTGAACGTTGAAATGGAGCCTCTTGTAATAGCGCGTTAATTGTCCGACCCGTTAAACGTCGCAGCTTTATATTTAAACAATATCATCTGGCGAAGCGCATTTAGAAACTACAAGAACCGATTATTGGAATCCGAATTTCCGAGATCGCTATTTTAAACAAAAATTACTATTACAACGTTTTCGCTGTTACAACATTTCGAATAAATAATGGCATTAATTAATAACGGCAAATATTCTTTATTTTTCGATCACTTCTCTTCGAGTCACTGTGTCGAAGAGGAATCACCGTTTCCCTAGACTACTGTGTAAAATTAGCTCGTTTGGAAAGCAAGAGAAGGATTTCTCAGTTCTGTCGCATAGGCAGCGCAATGCGGAAGAGTGTTACGGTCAGTAAAATGTCGGAATTGGTGGTTTCAGAATCAAATCCTGGCGCACAACACGACGGCGAAGATAATCTGGTCGAACCAGAGCCTGGTGCTGCAGAGCGTGACGAGGAGCAGCGCCGGCAAGTATGTCTGCGCAGTGACGAACGACCTGAACGAGACGCGGAGCGAGCCCCTTCATTTTCGCGTCAAGTGTGAGTACACGTCACGAGAGTGCGACGAGCTAGGTGGTCGTTCGGGGGCCGCAGCTTTATTTTAATCGGGCAGAGTTAATCGAGGATTTTCCATGGCACTCGTTAACGAGCAGCCCCTTATTCACCCGAACTGCGACGGCAGCGTAGCGCCAGCTGCCCTAGCTACCTCAGCTACTTAGCTACCTAGCTGCCTTATCCAACCATCCAGCTACCTAGCCACCTAGCCACCTAGCTACCTAACAGCTTAGCTACCTAACAGCCTAGCTACCTAGCCGCCTAGCTACCTAGCCACTCAGCTAGCTTATCTAACCACCTAACCACTTATTCACCTAGCCACCTAGCCACCTGACCTATTCACCAGCTGCCCAGCTACCCAGCCAGCTAGCCAGAGAACGAGCATTTCTAGCCCGTATAACGTAACCGGCTCGCGTATTTATTCCGAATCGGCTGCACCCGAGGATCTCGTTTCACCTGAATATTTCAGCCGTACTTAGTTCCAGCTACATTTTTGATATCCAATTCCCCGGGTTATGTCGAGCATACTGTCGACCGCAGTGCGGCTCCGAGAATCGTCAGAGATTCCCGCCCTCTCTCCGTTCTCCGGACCCGTATACAAATTGAATATCCCCAATTTAAAAGACGATCGTCGGAGAATCACTGTCCTTCCTTGGTCATCCCGCTCGAACACCGAGACCCAGCAATTTCGTGCCCACCCGAACAACTTCTCCACGGTGAACGTGCCTGCGTTCCGCGAATGACTTTTGCCCCGCCACCTTTTAACCCAGAGATTTTCCGATAGGTGCGCCGACGAGGAATCAGTGGTTCTCATAAATTGATATCGTTCGTTTCGGAGGGTAGATCTTTGGCCGAATGTTTTTCGAGACGTTGGAGCTTAAATGGCGGTTCGAATGGAAAGATTATGTATTTTAATAAATAAGGTGAATAAATAAGGGGAGCTGAAATGAAAAAAAAGAAAAGCAGGTTGAAATGGGGTATTGATTACAAATTGATTTGATAGAGTACGTGAAATGATTATGAATAAAAGGATCGTGAATTTTTTACCAGGAAACGCATCATTAAATTGGTCAACCCTAGGTTCTAAGTTATCCACGTAAAATATTACGTGTCCAACAGTCTTCAAGATACTCGACGAAAGATTTTCATCCCCTCAGAACGAATGATACCAAGTAAAACGTATCATTAAATTCGTCAATGTATAACTTAAAACCTAGGGTTGGTCAATTTAATGATGCATGTTACTTGATATCATTCGTTCCGAAGGGATGAAAATCTTTCGTCGAGTATCTTGAAGACTGTTAGACCTTGAGTGCTTCTTCATCCGAAAAGACTGGATATTTCTTGACGACAAACGTACTCTAATTATACCCTGATTTTCTTTACATTTCTCTTAAACACAACACTTTTATAAAATACATAATTTAACCCTTTGCACTCGAGTGACGACACTGAGGCGCCATTAAAATTGTTACACCATTTTTCAAAATAATTATAACGGTATCAGATTCGTTTATAATTTTTTTTAAACTGTTAAAATTGCAAGTATTGTACTTGCCAATAGGCTGAATTTCACATGCATAAATCGTAATAAATCATATAAGATGAAAATACTGTTGATTGGAAAACACGTTTTGGATCTCGAATTAAAATAGCTTCGACTGCAAAGGGTTAACAGTTCGCCAACGGTGCCGGGTCATTTCTGACAACGAAAACTTTTACATTTTATTTCATAATATTTGAGATACGCTAATTTAGCTTGGGTCAAACGTGACTATTTAGAAGTCCGCTATTTAACCGTTGTTCGGACTCGTCGCGAAGAAATGTCAAAATTTTGTTTTACGACGCGTATACTAGTCGCTAGAGCAGCTAACTGGTTAAAATCACGATGAAAAATGATCGTAGGGTGAGCAGACCCTTAAATCTTAACGAGCAATCTACAACCGGTCATAATTCTGCGCGAAAGCCCCCGATTTGTGAAACTTCGATTCGATGGCATGGGACGTTTAAACGGTGCTTGAGTGTTAAGAGCCGTAAAAATTCGACGACGTCGGAGGAAATCGTCGCTGGACGGTTGTACCTACGTCTACATGTCGACGAAAACTAGCCTCTCGATATTTAACTGCGGCCGGTGACGGCCTCGTAAAGGTCTCGGAAACGAGCCGGGGATAAGCAGCAATCTCTCGCGGGTGTTTCTCGGATCGAAGCGAGAAAGATAGAGAGTCAGAGAGAGAGAGAGTGGGAGAGAGCCCCGTGTCCGGATTTAGTTTCCCGGTTATTACATCGTCGCGCCACGTCTGGAAATGACATTTGCTTTAGGCCATTCACGTCCGCACGGGGAAACGAGGTTTTCCCTTCTCGCGGTCGGGGATTTAAATCGATTCCGATCGAAGCTTTAACGAGAAAGTGCCGGCCGAGAATTGCCAGATTTTTCGAGCGATTCTGTCGAGGAGCGACGAGAGGCAAAGAGTGTCGGGGCTCTCCTCTATCCATCAGCGCGGGCTTGTCCAGTATAAACAGACTCGAAAATCGACCGGACGCACGGCTCTGCTTTTTTTTTCGTTTTCCTTCTTTTTTTCCGTGAAACGCGCGTTACAAAGCGGAATTTACACCGTCGATGGCAATTATCGTGCGACCGGCAAAAAATTTCGCGGAATATCAGAGGGTGCGAGGCGCCAGCGGCTTTATCAATCCCGCGTCCGCGTCGTGTCGCGTCGCGACGCTACGCGACGCTTCCTGTCACGGATGATAATTAAATTTCATACGCGTCGTTTAAAAGCGCGGGGACCAGCGGCGCCGCGGTCGCCGATCCTGATCGTTAATTTCGAATTACAGAGCACGAGCACCCTCCCTCGAACGACCGATGACCAACGCGCCCACTGCCGCCCGTTAATTACGCTACAAAATCGGACACTCGACCAGACCATAGACCCGCCGTCGCGATAAGACTTCTTTAGCGATCACCGTTTTTCGATCCTCCCCTTTACAATTACAGTACACTCTCATGCAACAGTTCGCTTCCCAATACATTACATAGTTTGCATATTCTCCTGCGTCGCGTTCGGACGCTTCCCCTATTACAGTAAATTCTCCCTAATTAACGCTCGGCTTGGCAACAAGAATGGACAATTTGGGAAGAGGAGGTACGATTAATCGAGTCTTGCGGCTCGTTTTTATAGTTGCCGATTATCAACAATTATAAAAACGAGAGGTGCAAGACTCGAATAATCGTACCTTCTCTTCCCAAATTGTCCATTTTTGTTCTCAAACTGAGCGTCGATTAGAGAGAATCTACCGTACTACCCAAACATGTTCGCGTTTATTATTTTACGGCTTGTTTTCATTTTTATTTATTAGCCTTACATTTAACCCTTCGACCGCGGCGCACTCCCGGATAAAACCATCGATACAGACGAAGTGAAATAAGCGTGCCAGTCGCATAGCATTACAAAGATAATCGTAAAGGAAGAAATTCGATGTTGATAGCGAATAACAAATTTCATTTACCGCGTTTAAAACAACGATAAGTTGGTGCAACAATGAAAGTGTGCACAAAATGTAGAGGGGGTATACTTGCGCCTTTCGTATATATTGGCAGACTTCTGAGGACGTATATAAACGCTTTTCGTAGTCGAAGGGTTAAACGAATATAGAACCGGTGTAAAAGAGTGACAATTGTAACACTCAATTAAATTGAACACAATTTAACCCCATTTTTACCCTCGACGGTCCAATGCTGGCATGGCTCTTTCACTTATCGAGTCTTTCATCGTCGTACATACATTTATCTATCAAATCAGTTCGTTTACCTATACCGATGGAACTTTGTTCTTCTATTCGTATTTTCATGAAAATGGAAAATAGTGGCAAACAATGGGAACTAATACGAGTTAAATGTCGACGAGATTCGTATTGTATTTCGCGATCTAAACAGCGCGTCTTGCCCGTTTAATTAATTCATAAATAATGAGTAACAAAGAATTCCAACGTTCGAGGATCGGATGGCCGAGATCCTACCGTATCGAGAAGTCGTGCGAGCTGGATTATACGGATAAGTGCGCGGGACTAGCAGGCAATTTGTTCCACATGCTCGAAACGGTTCGCTCGGGGAAGACGTCTTTCATTTCGGGGTTGTCCGCGGCACTCGCGAAAGCTCATTCTACTTGGCGAAATTACTCGGCCGATTATCGAGCCGAAATACGGTCCTTGATATCATCTCGTTCCTCGGCTCTCCGCTCGGGAATGCTTTCGTCCTTTCTGCCTCGTGCCGAGCCGAGCCGAGCCGAGCCGGGAGTCAGGCTGCACGACGCCGCACCGCGCCGGCCCGATAAGATGCCGTCCGTCTATTTATCTCTCTTCTGCCGCAAAGTGAAAAGGTAGACGGATGCAAAGAGAGATAGATAGCAGTGGCAGCAACGGCTGATGAACGAGGGGAAATATATATCTCGCGGAAAACGCGGCACGGAGCCGGCAATCCTTCCGCGTCGGTCGCGAAACGATTTCATTCCGGGAGAAGGTGCTCTCCTCCCTCTCTCTCTCTCTCTCTCTCCCTCTTTCCCTCTTTCTCTCTTTTTCTCGCTTTTTCTTGCACACTCTCCTTCTCCCTCTCTCTCTCTCCCTCTTTCCCTCTTTCTCTCTCCCTCTCCATTTCCCTCTTTTTCTCGCTTTTTCTTGCACACTCTCCTTCTCCCTCACTCCCTCTCTCTCCCTCTCTCTCTATTTCCGTTCCGTGACAAAATTGCGAGACGTGCTTCGACATTTTTCGAGACGAAGATCGGCCGAATAAACGTGCCACGCTCCTCGAACGCGACGTCGTTCAACGAGAAGCACAGTAGGATAGGCAGCTCGAGTTCTCTCGAGCTCATTGTCGTCGAAGCACCATCGAACTTGCGTGCTTTTTTGCTCCCTCCCGCGGTTCTTCTCAGTCCGAGCATGTTTGCACTTCAACGGTCGCGGAGCAGTCCCAACACGGTTATTCCAATAATATTTATTTCACGCGTGAGCGATCGAATTATTCCAGTTTCAAACGATCTTTAACACTTTACAGCAGAATGTCGCCGATACGGCAATGCTATCTACAGGCTGCCCCATTCGAATTAACGCACTCAATTATCTTCTAAACTGTAGCTCGTTTCAAGAAATCTGTCAAATGAAACTTACCCTGTTTTTCGAGGGTAGCATCCTGTAACGGCCGCTAATTTTTGCTGGGTGAACGTGCTTCCGAGATCTCATGACGACCTTTGGTGCTTTTCATACAATTGTATATTTTTGCTTGTCCATTGTTTACGACTGAGTGGATTTCCGTCGATTTCAACGGGTTCGAAATATGTTGCAAAAGTCATCGTTTTGAACAACTTTTTCCTGTACATGTTACCGCCGCTCGTTTTTAGTTTCCGAGAGACCAACGGTCGAAAACAAACAAAAATTCGTAAACATTTTGAAACGGAATAGCTTTTTCATAGTTGGGCCAAGCGATTTAATTCTTTTTTAGAGAACAGACAACGGCCAAAAAATTGTTCGGGAAAATTGCAATTGGTAAGAGTATTGAGAAATGATGTTTTTTACAACGCTTTTATCCGAGTCCATAATGGAGATTTAGAAAATGGATTTTGCAGATCTCGATTAAATCGATGAACTTTCCCGTAGTGGTAGCAACAATGTTTCCGGAGTATCTCGGAAACGAAATGCGAGCGACGGTAACATGTATAGGAAAAAGTTGTTCGGAACGACGATCTTGACAACATATTTCACTGTCACATCGAAATCGGCGAGGATCAACCTGTCGTGCGCAATCACCATTTTCTTTTTTCTCTCGCCAGCCTCGAAACTCGAATATTTGAAACGCGTGCCGCGTATCTTTCGCGAACATTTGCTCGGCATCGGCAAGCAGATCGCGAAAATATCTCGCAGGAGCGTTCGGGCGCGCGAGGGTCGACCTTTGTCGATTGTCGTCTCGCCAGTTTCGAGCGAAACTTTTTGTCGGCGGCACTGTTTGCGAACTCCCTTGTATTTATTTGCGTCGGACTTGACGGTCGAAGCGCGCGCGAATTAATTCGTTCTGGGTAGCGCGTGCGCTCGCGAGAGCGAAGCGGACGCTTTTCACATCGACGCGGCGCGGCGCGACGCGGCGAACCGAATGGAACAAAAGCGATCGAACGGAGAAAGAACCGTGCCCCGGCGCACTCGATGACGCTTTTGTACTCGAAACCTGACTTCAACTGCTATTTACCGAATTGAGCGCGCGGTAACTAAATAAAAGGAATAGCAAACAAGCGAACGTTTATCGCCGCCGTGGGGGGAGAAAAAAACCGGGGCAATAAGCTGACCGCCGCTCCGCGTTGCTCTCTGTAGCTTTCATTTGCCGCAATTTCCATCGTAACGCCGCGCCGCCGCCGCCGCTGCTGCGAGCTCTGCCGTCGACTGCGAGGGCTCGCTTCGACCTCCTCGAACGAATAAAACCCGAATGGAACGGTGATCGATCGGCCGGCCAACGATCTACCCACGGCTCGTCACAATTTCGTAACGATCGCCGTCCCCGTCCCCGAAACCCATTAACGACAACATGCCATCCGAACTGTCAACGCCACCGCCGCCCTCCGACAAAGTTATTCCCGAAGATTGCGTTGACCAACGAGCCACCGACCTGCACCGTCAAAGGCACGATCGCTTTGCTCCCGAGACACGAGCTCGTCTTCCCGCGCGCACGACTTCCTCGCGTTTCTTCCAAAATCCACCCCCGCGCGCCACCCGAAGCTTCCTCTCGTCCACTGGCGTTATTTACGATTCTCCAACAGGGCGACAAATGTCACGACATAAGATTCTTCATTCCTTGCATTGGCAATGGTAGATCACTTTCTAACCGCTTAGTTGCGATGATCTATTTTTAGGATTAATTTTGTACGCGTTTTTTTCAACCACGCTGGGTGCAGTTTTCTGCGGCAAGTTGTTCTAGGATTATTCTAAGATATGCGAAATTTGTTCTAACTTAAATCGTAGGAGACGTATTTTTGTTGCAAGACGTGAAATTGCCGTTTCTTTATGACGTGTATACACGTCGTCCGCAGCTGAGAGGTTTACCGATTAACCGGGGAATATAGTATAATATAATATATAATATAATATAATATAATATATAATATAATATAATATAATATAATATAATATAATATAATATAATATAATATAATATATAATATAATATAATATAATATATAATATAATATAATATAATATATCTATGTATATTAATGTATATACATTATACACATACCACTGTACGTATAATTGCCTATCATAACTGTCTACGTACCATATACACAATAAAAAAGCGATACAGCTTTCAATCAGAACAGTCGAAAGTGAGTAAATTGTGGCACAGAAAAACGATCTACGAGTACTGTCGCAATTTTTGCGCCGCGTAATCGCGTGCTGTAAGAGGGTTTACTGTACCATTGTATTATATCTCTATCAGTGGTGCACAGACAGTTAGTCGCAAAGGAAATATTGATTCAATAAACACCGGCGCGCCGGTGTGCACCGTTGTTACAAGCATCGAGATGCAAGACTAACTAAACTCGTCTGCGCATGTAACGGTTCGGCTAGCCGTTTTTACGATGTACGTTCTTGCAAGCCGCGAACTAACAACGATGTGTCGTGTGAATTGCAGTCGCCCCGGTGTGCAAGGAGGACCGTATAATCGTGGTGGGCGCATCTCGGGGCGAGTCCCTGGACATCGCCTGCAGGGTGGAGGCCGATCCGCCGGCGCACAATTTCCGATGGAAATTCAACAACAGCGGGGAGACGCTGGAGGTCGCGCCCGGCCGTTTCTCGATGGAGAAGTCGAGCGGCGTGAGCGTGCTTAGGTACACGCCGGCCACCGAACTGGATTACGGCACTCTGTCCTGCTGGGCGGACAATTTGGTCGGTACACAGGCGAGACCGTGTCTCTTCCAGCTGGTAGCCGCCGGTGAGTATTTACCGGATCGAGGGTAAACGTTACACCGGCACCGACGCCGTGCACGGAGAGGGGTGGTGACCGTCGCTTTCTGGTGCTAGCCACCGGGCGCCGCACCGGGTGCAACGAGGTCGCGCCTCGCCTGGCCTCGCCTGGCCTCGCCTCGAGTCGCCCGGCGGTCGCCAAATCGAGTTAAAATCCTTTCTGGGGCCAGAAACGAGCCTGTTTACGCTCAGAAACTATGACCCGCTCTCCGCGCCGCGCCGCGCAGCGCGTTTCCGTCTCGTCGGTGTGCCCTTGTAAACACCGAAACGCGGCAAAGCATCCGGAAACCTGCCGACGAGGATCAACCGCTCGGAAAATACCGGCTGTTGAGCAACGCGTGCCACCCTCGAGACGACGTCCGCGGAAATCATCTTTCGCACCTGATGAACTACCGCGCGGTGGTCCCAGGTCTTGAGAACGTGGTTAAAATCCTCGTAAATGAGTTTTCTCGCAGATTCATTGTTTAGGATTATTCATCGATGAGCTTTCATAGCTGAGGCGTTTTTAGGGGAAGGTAGTCACGTTTTTATACCGGAGTGACAATTACGATGTAAACATCGGTGAACACGTTCCGCGCCACGTGTTCCACAGATGGTGCACGGTAAACTTTCCGTTCAGGCCCCGTGTACCAGTGATGGCACACGTTTACATATTTATTTGATACGGTAAACGACAGCTGGATTCGATATTTCAAGTGCACCAGCTATTACAAAACCGTCATTAAAATCTGTTTTCAATATTCTATTACTGGTGCGTGAATCGATTAATTTTACTTTGATTTGTATAATTCTCTGTTTATAACGCCGTATCTCGGCGCAGAGCCGTCCAAAGCGAATGATATTTTGGATTTGGGAGCTACAAAGAGTTTTCGGTTTACAACGAAACAAACGCTTTCGATATATGTATGCTGCTCAAAGAAATTATAGGGTCGAAAAATTTTCGACAGAAATTGGCCAACTTTGACTGACGATGACTACGCGAAAAATCATCGCAGGATGATCGTTTTCATTTTAAATTAAAGCTTGAAACATCTACTTTAAGGCACTGTTCCTCGATTCTAAGTTAAACGCACCCTCGCCATTGTAACCATTTAAATGTGAGGCCATGTCTGTCACATCAAAAGTTGCTAAGTTTGACAAAATGTGTAGACTTTGTCAAATTTTGTACGGAGATACCGTTTGTAGTTGCATGATGTTCGATCCTTCCCCTTTAATTTGAAAAACAGAAACGTGGCTGCGAGTTTTCTCTTTGCAAACTCACAACGGTTCGAAGCAACCCTTGTTTGAAAACGTCGTTGGTTTATAATTGTCACTACTGACTTAAGATCGAGAAAAAGTATGTTAAAGTAGAGGTTTCAAACTTTAAGTTGGCCTAATTTTATGCAAAATGTGTTATCCAGCTGTGTATTTTATAAGTTTAGGGGTGGTCGATACATTTCCATCAAACGAATGGGGCATTATGAAAAATAGGATACGGAGCAAATCAAATATATAATAATTAACAATTACTTATCAATGTTCAGTTAAATCGTCAAATAGCTAGGCCAAGCAACTTGAATGAAAAGTCGCGCAAAAACTGCTCGGTACGGAACGTTTTAAACAATTGTAACGTAAGCCTATGATTTCTTTTAAAAAATATTTTATTCGCTTCTGCGATGTGGATGACGTTTGCGGAAGCAGAATACTTTTTAGTTCTAAACTATGCCTGGCGAGATCTAAAGATCATAAGGGCTAGTATAGTGAGGTCAAAGTGTTCGGAACAGCGTAACTAGGGTGAGGTTCGCGTACAATGCGATAACGATGGAAACGAAAGATAAAACATGGATCATCCACAAAATGACACTAAATCGTAGATCGAATACTAAGACTCTAAGCGCAAGAGCGTTTTGTTAGAACAATTTGGCAACGAGCGCGTCGACTCCGAGGCACGAACGAAATCATTGCGGCGAAGCTAATATTCGGTGGAAATAAGACGGTGTATTGTCTGCGCCGTTTCGAGATATCGAACGTTGGGGGGGGGGTCGATGGTAGGAGGGGGTGAATAGATGTCGGCGGCAGCTCTACTTCGACACGAAAGTCCTCCGTGCGTAAATTATTCAGGGACCGTCGAATTCCTGGCACCCTCGAGACCGAACCAAGCCACCGAGACTATTAACGCCTCAATTATTTACCCTTTCGAGACCGAGATTGTCCCGACTCTAAAGATCCTTCCAATTAGTTGGAAAGCGATCTTTAATCAAACCTGTCGCGCGATTGTTAAGCCACCGGGTCCTTCGGAGCACCTCGGTCTCGTTTTCCAGCCGGCTCCAAATAATAATGAGTCGGTCTGTAAACGAGCGTAACGGGTGGCCGGGGTACGCCGGGCGTGGCGCGGCGTATCGTCGATAAATTAACGAAAAGTCGCGTCACGTCGTGGTTACCGGGCTGGCAAACATCAGACGGCCGTGTTTATTTTCCGTGTTTGCGCTCGCGTTCGGACGGGGCGCGTTATCAAGGCTGCCGGGCAAAGCGAGTTAATTAATATCTCGTTAATTACCAAAACTCGAAACAGATTAACCGCAATATCCGTGTTCTCTTCTCCGCTGATGGCCTGCGAGCGAAATTTTCGCGTTCTCCCGGTCGTTCCTGCCGCTCTCTCGTTGTCCTCTCTGCCGCTTTATTTTTCTTCGTCCCTTTGTGGAACCGTGGCCGGGGAAACGCGGCTCGCTTCAGCCCCGGTATTGTTCCTCAAGCACCGGCCAATTATCCGAAGGACCCGGGCTTTTTTTTTACGCGTCGAACGCGGACGGACAAAATCCTGACAGATATGCGGGAATTATCGCGGCCGCGTACAATGCCGGCGCAACCAATCATCGCGCGGTAAACCGACATTAATCCCCGGCCGGATTTTACGGGACGCGCTCCGCGTCGCTCCTCCCTCCGTCTCTCTCTCTCTCTCTCTCTCTCTCTTTCTCTCTGTCTGTCTGTCTCTTTCTGCTACCCTATCCACGTCTTTTTTTTGGAAAACCGCCCCCGACCCGCGGTCCGTGATCGACAATGACGTTGACGGGACCACCTGCCGAAAGCGTATTGACGTTGACGAATACGCGACCGATGCGTACAAAACGAGTCACGTGTTAACTCCCACGAAGAGCGAGAGTCCGCCAGAATATTTGCCGAGCAAAACGAATTTGTTGACTGACAACGGCGAAACAGTTTGCTCCGAAGGAACGGACGACCGATGAGCTCCGATAAAGCGACAGGAAAATAATTCACCGTTCGCAATAATATCCGATCAATTATTAATCCGCCGGATGGATTAAGATGAACGTGTTAAACGGCGATAAACGACGCTCGGGGCTAATACTTAACGGGCACGACACGATTAACGCTGCGACGGCGGAGAGCGTTCGCATGCGTACGAACGCGGTCTAATGGATCAACATAGATAACATTAGCGGGACGTTCCCGGGCCGTTTGTCCTTCGTTAACGTTTCCTTCGATCGCGGTGAAAAGGAAAAAAGAATAGGGAACGAGAGGAAACACCGCGAGTCGACGGACAGAAAGAAATTGTTTCGCGTTTCGCGATAGTGCTGACGAGTTCGCGAACTGCTACTTATACAGGGTGTCCCAGGTTTTAATGTTCAAACTTTGTCAGTATATCCTATATGGCACAAAATAAGAAAAGAATGCTATGTAAACATTATTAAGAAGTTATAACAAAAATTGAGAATAGGAATAGTAATCAATGTTTGATGATCGATGATGATCGATGTCAATCATGTATCGTCAACAACGGTTATTAATACATTTCGAAATGTATTAATAAACACAGCTTACATAAAGACACGGCATGTGCTGATCTGTTCAAGCCAATGCTCGCAGTAACAGCAAGTTGATTACTATTCCTATATTCTGAATTTTTGTTATAACTTCTTAATAAAGCTCTATATGACCTATGTTTACATAACATTTTTTTCTTACT